ACCACCAGCACATCACCACCACTGCACACCACCACCACCACCACCACACATCACCACCACAGCATACCACCACCAGAGCACATCACCACCACCAGCATATCACCACCACTGCACATCACCATCACCACCACCGCACGTCACCACCACTGCACATCACCACCACTGCACATCACCACCACAGCATATCACCACCACCACAGCACATCACCACCACCACCACAGCACATCACCACCACAGCACATCACCATTACAGCACATCACCTCCACCACCACCGCACATTACTACCACCACCGCACATCACCCCCACTGCACATCACCACCATCAGAGCACATTACCACCACCACTGCACATCACCACCACCACCGAACATCACCACCATCACCGCCCATCACCATCACCACCCATCGCCACCACCAGCACTGCTCATCACCACCAGCACAGCACACCACCACCACCACTGCCCATCACCATCACCACTCATCACCACCACCACCACTGCCCATCACCACCAGCACAGCACACCACCACCACCACCGCACTACAGCCCCATGGCACTACAGCCCCACAGCCCCCACAAGCTCCCCCACCCACCCCCCCCCAGCACCCCGCTCGCTATTTGCTCCCCCATCGATGGCAACGCCGCCCTTAACCGATGATGTGTTGATCTGAACCGCTAGGCGGCGCCACACCCCAGCTGCACCCGCGCAGGGGGCGTGTCCTCTGCATGGAGGGGGCGTGGTTTTCGCACCGGGGGCGGTGCCAGGCGGCCTGCGGGAAGGGGCGGCGGGAGCGGTGCTGGCGCCATCAGAGGCGCCCGGGCATCGCTGTTCGGGCGTTGTGCGGAGCCCGCAGCACCGGTGATGGGCAGAGCGCATTCCATCGTCTCCCACATGGATCCCAGCTCGGGCCCTGCCCGCGGCTGCCGGTGCTGCCCAGGGCTGAGCTGCCTTGAACACTGCCAGGGGTGGAGAATTTACCACTTCTCTGGGCACCCTGTGCCAGCGCCTCAGCACCCTCACATAAATCACTTCTTCCTTATCTCCAACCTGAACTCCCCCTGTTTCAGTCTGAACCCATCACCCCTTGTCCCATCGCTACAGCCCCTGATGAAGAGTCCCTCTCCAGCATCCTTGTAGCCCCCTTCAGACACTGGAAGCTGCTCTGAGGTCTCCACGCAGCTTCTCTTCTCCAGGCTGAACAGCCCCAATGTTCTCAGCCTGGCTCCATACGGGTGCTGCTTCAGCCCCTGAGCATCCTCATGGCCTCCTCTGGACTTGCCCCAGCAGCTCTATGTCCTTATGTTGGGGACACCAGAACTGCACGCAGTGCTGCAAGAGAGGTCACAAGAACAGAGTAGAAGAATCACCTCCTTCGACCTGCTGCTCGTGCGTCTTTTCAGGGAGCTCCTGGGCATTCTTGCTTGACTTCCTGTTCATTGAATGAGAATATAGCATCAGATGAGAGCAGACACGGTACAGAGTGATGCAGTGATGGTGTCAAGTGTAGAAAACCAGCTCTCTGGATACAGAGCCTTGATAGAGCCCTTGACATGCTCCTTCGCTTACTTCTGTGGGCTCTCCCTTTCAGTCCTGCAAATGACTCCCTCCTTTCCCCTGCCCTTGTCTCTCACACTTGCCTCCCCGTGCGACCATGCTGACAAGAGAAGCTGAAGCACAGATGTGTCCGCCCATGGGGAGGACATGGATTAATCCCCCCGTCCAACTCCATAGCCATTGCCTGCAGTGCTTGCCCTGGAGCTGGGCTCTGGCTCCTCAAGCTCTGTGGCTCGTGTGCTCACAAGCCACATGTTCGCAACTTTTGTCTGTGAGGAGATCATGGATTTGGGAGTCGGCTGTGGGAGGTTGTGGGATCATCTTACAAGCACAGCAGCATAAAAAGCATGGAAAGAGGAGACAAAATCTTCCACTGGCTTCTGTGAGGGATGGAGCCTTGAGTTCTTGCTTGGCTGGGGACTGGGTGCTGTGACAGTGACCGGCACCATCACTAGAGGGCTCCTGGGCCCTGCAGTGGCATTGGGTTGACACCTTCGCAAACAGCTCGAAAAGAGAGTGGATGAGGGTGCTCAGGAAGGGGTGACCTTGGCTGGATGCTGGATGCGGTGTACGGTGGAAAGCTCGTGGTTCACTCCACAAATACCATCACTGGCAAAACAGACTTGGCTTGGGAGAACTGATTTCAATTTATTGCCAATTAATGATGGACCAGGATAATGAGAAACGGGAACCAGTCTAAAACACCGTCCCCCCACCCCTCCCTTCTTCCCAAGCTCATCTTCATCCCTGATGGATGGCATGGACTTCCATGGGCTGCAGGGGAATCCCTGCCCCAGCACCCAGAGCACCTCCAGTCTTCCTCTACACTGACCCCTGGGACTGCTGTTCTCTCACACATTCTCACTCCTCCCTCCCAGCAGTTTTTATCCCTTCTTAAATACATTGTCCCAGAGGCACCACCACTGTCACCGATGGGCTCAGCCTTGACCAGTGGTAAGTCCATCCCAGAGAGGCTGCATTGGCTCTGTTGGACATGGGGGAAGCTTCTGGCATCTTCTTCCCCTTGCCACAGGACACCTTCAGGGACCTCCAGGTCAAAGCCAGAGCTGCGGCTGGGAGCACCAGTGCAGAGCAACTCAGCTCAGCAGCTCTGGGAGCCCTGTTCCCTTTCTGCCATGCCCTCCCACAGGATTTGGGCAGCTCTGCTCCAAGGCTCCAGGACTTCACAATACCTAAAGGAGCTATAGGAAACCTGAAGAGGGGCTTGGGACAAGGGCCTGTAGGGACAGGCCAAGGGGAATGGCTTTAACCTGCCCGAGGGGAGACTGAGGTGAGCTCTTAGGCAGAAGCTCTTCCCTGTGAGGGTGCTGAGGCGCTGGCACAGGGTGCCCAGAGAAGCTGTGGCTGCCCCATCTCTGGCAGTGTTCAAGGCCAGGTTGGACACAGGGGCTTGGAGCAAGCTGCTCCAGTGGAAGGTGTTTTCCATTCAGGTGGTTTTAATCTGTACCTCTTGCTTCTTGTCCTGCCTGTGAGAACAACTAAGAGGAGTCTGGCCCCCTCTGCTCCATTCCCTCTCTGTATGACATTCGCAGGGCTCTGCACATCCAGGGTGCCAAGGTCCACCTGCATGGCAACAGGACCCACTGGTGCTCCAGCTCCTTCCACTCCATCGCCTGCAGCGCTGCTGGGGTGCATCCACCCCATGCCCAGGTTCTTCTTGATGACATTGAACAGGACTGGTCCCTGCATCCACCCCAGAGCAGATCACGAGCCACCAGCCTCCAGCTGGACTTTGTGCCACGATCCCTATGCTCCGGCCCGGACACTCGGCTGGGTTTCGGTCCAGCTCACTGTGATGCAGCTAACCATGCTCCTCTGGTTGAGCTGAGAGGATGTTATGCCTGGCAGTTGTACTGAGGGGCAGGTACAGAACACCCTCTGCTAGGCCGCCAAGCCAGTCACCTCACTGCGGAACTGGTGAAGCGCCATTTCCACTTTGGCAGCCCATGCTGTTTCCCATCAGCTGCTTGTTCTTCATGCACATGGAAATGATTTCCAAGCCCTCATTATTGTCTTCCCTGAAGATAGGAGGGGTGTTTTGCTTCACTCCAGTCCTCAGGAGGCTGTCCCAGTCACCAGGACCGGTCAAAGCTGACTTGGATCCAGCTCCTCCAAGAGCCAATGCTGCTGACTGCTGCTGGGCCCCACATGTCACCTGGAGGTGGCTCAGGAAGCACCCTGCCTGCATCATCCTGTGCACCCCATGCAAGTGATGCCACATACTCAGTGCTGCACCCCACATGTTCAGACCAGCACCCCATGTATTCAGAGCTGCCCCTGGCCACCTCTGCCCCACAGGGCTGAAGGCACACCCGCTTTCCCTCCAGCTTTGGGGGTACAAGGAGATGGACCCGGGGGCTTCCAGCTTCACCGAGGGGAGTCTGCCTCACCGCCATGAGCAGATGGGGCCACCCCGTTGTGACCGGGATGTGGGGAGGGGACAGGGCACGAGGCTACCCCTTGTTCCCGTCTTGGGGGCTTAGAGGGACAATGGAACCCTGGGCACAGTTCCCCCTAGGCTTCCCCCAGCCCCACGCCGCTGACTCTGCGCCCAGCACCGCACATGGCCGGGGACACGGGGCCCGCAGGGACACGGGACGGACTCTGGCCGGTGACGCGGGGGCAGCGGGGCCGGGGCATCCCGGCCGCTTTCCCCTGGGGACCCACGTCAGCGGCGGCCCCGAGCGCTGACCCGTGCGGCGGCCGGATCCCCCGGTGTGGCTCTGCCCGACGAGCCGCGGTTCCTGCCGGGCAGCGGTCCCACCGAGGCAGGAACAGGCACTGGCGTGTGCATGGGTACGCGTGCGTGTGTGCCCCGGGTCGTGCTGCGGGTACCCACGAACCAAACGGGACCCACTGGCGCAAGGCCCGGTGCTCTGGGGCTTGGTACTGTCGGGCCCGGTGCTCTGGGGCTTGGTACTGTCGGGCCCGGTGCTCTGGGGCTGGGTACTGCCGGGCCCGGTGCTCTGCGGCTTGGTACTGCAGGGCCCGGTGCTCTGCGGCTTGGTACTGCCGGGCCCGGTGCTCTGCGGCTTGGTACTGCCGGGCCCGGTCCTCTGGGGCTTGGTGCTACCGGGCCCGGTGCCGCACCGGCGCTGCGCTGGGTCCGGGCCGTGCTCGGAGCCAGCCCCACACGGTGCCGTTCAACCCCGGGCCGCCGCTCGACGCGCACGTTGTGCCGGGGCACGCTGCCCGCGCGGGGTCGCGCCGGGCCGGCGAGGGCCGGGGGCGGGGCCCTGCTCTCGGCGCTGCCCAATGGCGGCGCGGCCTCGCTCCTCCCCTGCGGAGAACTGGCCAATGGACGCCGCGGGACGCGCGCAACGTCAGAGGAGGGGGCTCGGCGTGGTCACCCGGGGCGGGAGGGAGGCGCTTAAAGCGGCGGCGGCGGCAGCGGCAGCGGCGCCAGTCGGGGGCGGAGCGGGGGTGCCCGGGCGGACCGGAGCGGGGAGCAGCGGAGCGCGGCGCGGCCCTGCCGGTGAGCGGCGGCCTCGGGCCGGGCGGGCCGGCTCTGGGCTGGGCTGGGGCGGGGCGGGCACATGGCGGCGGGAGCGGGCGGTGGCGCGAGCGGGAAAGGCCGTTATCCGGTGCTCCCCCCCCCCCGCAGTGCTGATCCCGGTCTCTCCCGCAGGATGAGGAGAGGCGCAGGCCATGGCGCGGTGCACGGGCTCCTGCGGCCGGCGGGGCCGTAGGACGGTAGAGCCCCCTCGCGCCCTATAGCGGCCGCTGAACCCCTACTGAACTTCACACCTAATTTATTAAGCCCCTGCCTGAGCCATGGACCCGACCCCCACCGTGCTCCCCGCGCCCACCGCGGACTTCCTCTGGATGCTGATCTTAGGCTTCATCATCGCCTTCGTCCTTGCCTTCTCTGTCGGCGCCAATGATGTGGCCAACTCCTTCGGCACGGCGGTGGGCTCGGGGGTGGTGACCCTGCGGCAGGCCTGTATCCTGGCCAGCATCTTTGAGACTATGGGCTCTGTCCTCCTGGGGGACAAAGTCAGCGAGACCATCCGGAAGGGGCTGATCGATGTGAACATGTACAACTCCACACAGCAGCAGCTGCTGATGGCGGGTTCGATCAGTGCCATGTTTGGTGAGGAGCAGGGGGTTGAGGTGGGGGGCACTGGGGTGTCCCAGGGATGGTGTCTCACCGGGTTCTCCTTCTTCTCCAGGATCTGCTGTGTGGCAGCTTGTGGCTTCATTCTTGAAGCTGCCCATCTCCGGTACCCACTGCATTGTTGGGGCAACCATTGGCTTTTCGCTGGTGGCCAAAGGGCAAGAAGGTGTCAAGTGGTCTGAGCTGCTAAAGATTGGTAAGTCCAGCTCGTGGCCACCACGTGCACCCCTGGCTCCCCCTCCTGGCAGTGGGATGCTGATTCTGCCTCTTCTCTCCTAGTGCTGTCCTGGTTCATCTCCCCCCTCCTCTCAGGCATCATGTCTGCTATCCTGTTCTTCCTTGTCCAGAGGTTCATCCTCCTTAAGGTAAGAGCTGTTCACCCGTTTTCTGTCGCCTTGGGGCTCACAGATGCTCACTCCTCTGCCAGTTGGGTTTTGTGCCCCAGAACTTCTCCAGGCCCATCCATCCGTGTGCTGGCACTTGGGTGAGCCCTTCAGAGGAGCCAAAGGGATGGGAGAATGAGATCTGTAGCTGTTCCTCAAAGCAGAGTCTGGTGTGTGTGTGTGTGTGTGTGTGTGTGAGGATTTGTCTCTTTACCTCCTCTAAAACATCTGGGCCAGGCATCTCCTGTGGTTTCCAAGTGGTGAAGTAACCCGGAGCTGGGAAGGTCAGAGCTGCTCCTCAGGCTTTTCCTAAGTCCTGGTGCAGGGCTGCACCTTCTCTTGTGTCAGGCTGCAGATAAAGGCAATGGCAGCAGCTTTTGTGAAGCCAGAACAGCCAGATTGTGGGAACTGGGTGTTCTTCCCACCTGGTGCCCCAGGTAAAGTGAGGTGCAGGTTGTGGAAACAAGCACCTGCTGCTGGGAGTGTCTGAAAGCCCAGGTGGAGGAATTGGGCACCCAAAAGTGCTTGAAATGAAGGTGGCAGCTTTAGACCTCATATTTGAGATGGTGATGGTCCTGGAGTGCAGGATGCTGCCAGTGCAGAGCAGGGACATCCAGCCAGTTCCATCCAGAGGAGTTCCAGTGTTTTGTTCTGCATGCTTGAGGTTACCTGAAATTGTTTGAGGTCTTGGCTCTGTTTCTAACCCTGGAGATGTTAAGATCTTATTGCTGCTGGCCCTTACCTGGCAGCCCTTGTAAAACAATTCAGCATCGCTGCTGTCACAGTCTCCTTGTGTAACTGGCCTTTCTGAGCCAGGCTGGTCCTGTCATGCTTCGTCCTGGACCTGAATAGTCCAGTTGCTCCCTCCTGCTTGGCTTTCAGAAAGGCTCAGTGTGTTTGTACCAGCACTAGGCTCTGATTGCTGGGCAGCAGCAGAGATTAAGTGCTCCTGCTGCTCGGGTGAGGGCCTTTCTGTGTAGGTATGTGCCCAAATAAGCTGCTTTGTGGGTAATGGGGAGCTTTTCTTTTGTCCAAGTCAGCTGGACTGAGGTAAAAGCCTTGACTTGGGATGCTCGGCTGGTCCTGCCCTGGGTCACCTCACGGCTGACAGTGGCAGCTCCATGGGTGACTCCTGAGGAGCCGTTGAGAGCGGGAGCCTGGTGTTTGGAGCTGCTGTCAGCAGCTGACCCAAGGCAACAGCTCCCTTTTGGGAAAGGGGCTGCTTCTTGGCTGCTGGGCAGCCCTCAAGGTCCAGCTTTCTGCAGCAGTGCTCTGTGTTTTCCAGGCTGATCCTGTCCCCAACGGCTTGCGAGCTTTGCCCGTCTTCTACGCCTGTACTGTGTGGATCAACCTCTTCTCCATCATGTATACTGGTGCCCCTTGTAAGTACCCATCAGAACGCTTGCACCTGAATTTATGAACCTGTTACAAAACCTCCATTAAATGCACGATTTACCCCTTTTTTGCTTTACAGGGCTGAAATCTCCTAGAAGGCGGCTGGCCTGTGCCGGTTTCGGAAGGCTGCAGGCTAGCGTGCGCTGAGTCTGGGCTAGATAGTTGCCCAGCCAAAGAGGCCTGCTCAAACTAAACCCCTCCAGGCATTTCTCCTTAGACTTCCCAGGCATGGCAGATAACAGGACCCTTCCCCTTCTTTTACCTGGGCTAAAACTCGGGTACCTGCCTGCTGCTGGAGAGACCCCTCAGGCTGCCAGTAGCAAGGTTATAGGAGTAGGGATGGGGGCTGTGCCTCCTCATCCTCCTGTCCTGTGAGCAAACTCATTATCCCTGGTGAGAGGAGCTGGCACCTGTTCCGAGAAGATGAGTTTGTGCTGCAGTTTGAAAAGCCAAATTGCAATGCTTGTTTGGATGTTGTCTTGTAGGGGACAGGATGTGGGCAGGGATAGGAGAGGGCTTGGCAGGGGAAGGTGGCTTTGCTTGTGGAGATGGAGGCTCCGTAACCTCCGTCGCCGGGGTGTCTTGGCACGAGCTGTTGTTGGTCTGAACCCGTGTTTCCTGTTGTGGAGGAGCCGCTGGAGGTGGGGTGAGGGCAGTTAGTGCCAGGTCTGTCTGTAAACAGTGGTTGGAAAGCAGGGATGTCAGCATCCCCTTCCCTTGGCTTCCCAGCCTGGGGAGCTGCTGAGGGCACCGCTGCTGCCCCGAGGTCACGTTATCACTTGGCACCCAGGAGGTGGGTGCATGTTTATCCTCGGCTCAGCTGCAGGAGGGCTGGGTGAGCTCGGTGCTGCTCCAGTGCAGGGGCTGGTGCAAGCAGAGAGCCAGGAACGTGGGTGCAGCAGTGATGTGCTGGCGGTGGAGCAGTGAGTTATTGCCTGCAGGAGCTCAGTGGTCACAGGCACGCGGTACTCACCCAGGGTCTGCAGTGGGCTGTGCAGTGCAAAAGTGGTGCTAAAAGTCACACCGCTTGTGAGAGCTCTTCTAAGTGGGTCACCCAGCACCTTGGCTGCCTCTGCTGGAGCTCCTGGCAGCAGGAGACTTCCCCCCCGATAGCAAGCAGTGTCCTGGGGCTCGGGGGGGGAGCAGCCCTGGTCCTACCTGTCCCACGTATGTGTGTCTTCCCCCCCCCGGCCAGGGATGTGGTGCAGGCACTGCAGCAGCCACAGGAGTGCTTTGACATTGCAGCAAGGGAGGAGACAAGGGCTGTGAGGAGCCTCCGGGCTCACACCAGCCCCCAGCTGTGTTTGCCTGCAGGAGAGGGAGGGAAAGTGTCTGCACATGTGATAGATGAGCTCGTGGAGGGGGGGAGATTGTAACGGGGTGGGGGGGGGAGTGTGTGTGTCCTGTGTGGGTTTAGTGCTGGCATTCCAGCAGCATTTCTCCTTAGCAGGTAAATTAGCTCAGGGATGATGCAGGTGATGGAGTCCCCTTGCTGGGAAGAGCAAAGTCATATGTGGAGGAGGCTTTTGCCTGGAGGTTTTCAAAGATCCGTTGTTTTATTTCCTAGTGCTGTTCTTTGACAAACTTCCTCTGTGGGGTATCCTCCTAATTTCGGCGGGGAGTGCTGTTGTCTGTGCTCTCGTCATCTGGTTCTTTGTATGTCCGAGAATGAAGAAGAAAATTGAACGTAAGTAACACCTCTGTCTTTGCAATCCCTTGGGGAAGGGCACCCTCGGACTAACCAACTTCTGTTCCCAGCGGGAGATCTCATTAGCTGCAGGGCTGTTATTAGCAGGGGCTCCTCAGCTTCGGTTATCACTTAAGCTGCTCTGCAAACCCTGAGTCACTGGGGCCCATCTCATGGAGCTGGGCCCTGCTGCTCCCCGAGGCCCCTCACAGGAGCCCTTGTGCTGGTACCTGGCTGCTGGCTTCTCCCCTGGAACTATGCAGGATGGCAGCAGATACCAAACAGCTTGATTGCCCTTTAATAGAGGAGAGAAGAAGGCTGGAGACAACCTGCCTGCTAACCGGTGTAACCTTTAATCCTCCCTGTACCTGCTGATCAATCTTTGGCCTGGCAGATGCAGATCACAAGTTTAAAGCTGTGTAAGCTGATGAAATCCTTTCCCTGGAGCAAAAACATCAATTGAAAGGCATCCAAAAGAGCAGTCAGTCCCCAGCTCTGCCTCCTGGAAGCGCCGGCAGCAATCCTGGAGTCGTGTGTGGTCTTGCATATAAATGTCGCTTGGAGGCTGCGGGACCCGAGGTGTTGGAGATGAGGGATAACCAGTGTCCTTGTCAGACTGGTGTAACTGGGGTGTGACTAACAGCTTTACGGCAGCCTTTGACAATCTTCCAGCTGTTTTGAGCTTTGCCTTAACTGCAAGGAGAGCATCGCTGCAGGGGCTTGATGGCAGGCTGAGGGGCTGGAGGCCACAGCCTGGCCCTTGCAGTGAGCAAGCATTCTGGGTACAGGTCATGTTTGTGACCAGGAGGTGATTTTTGTTGTTGTACGAAGGAGCTGACCTCATGTTTTCACCTGGAGAAAAACATGCTTTTCCTGGTAGAGGGGGAGGAACAGCCTCAGTTTCCAGGGCTTGGTGCTGTAGTTTGGCTTTTCCAGTGGGACAGGAAACCAGGCTGCCCTCGGGAGGTGGGGACCAGCTCCTGTTTGGGTTTGTCACCCTCCAGTGGGAGCTGGAGAAGAGCCCGGGCTGGCTGGAGCTGATGGGCTGGCAGGGCCAGGTTCTCTGGGGACCTTCCCATTGGCTCCAGGGGTCACAGCCACTCCAGGAGCGGGTCCAGAGCATCCCACGGCTGCCGGGAACTGGGGATGGGACAAACATGGCTCAAAGAGGAGCTTCTGCCATAGGAAAAATGGGCATAAAAGCCCCATAATGGTGCTTACCACACCCCGTGTGGGTGGTGGGGGTCTATAAATAGGAGATGAGTTGGCTTGTGACTGTTTGGCTGCTGTGCCTGGGCCAAGGTGCGACTGCCCAGCAGCTTCCAAAGTTCAGGATGGGGCGAAGCTGTAAATTTTATTTAGCCACCATAAATATGCATGGCGAGGGCCATGTGCTGGCTCCTGGCCTTGGGTGCAGTGATGGAAAAGGGGTTGATTCCAGCTGCCTCCCTTCGCAGGAGAAATCAAGTCGAGTCCTTCTGAGAGCCCCTTGATGGAGAAGAACATCAGCCCCAAGGAGGAGCAGGAGGAGCCCAAGGTGCCTCTGGGCGATGCCAAGAGCCCTGTGGCTGATGCAGGGCTGGCTGTGCCCCAGCGAGCCCCGGTGGAGGACAGGACGGTCTCCTTCAACCTGGGGGACCTGGAGGAGGCCTCGGAGCAGGAGCAGCTCCCCAGCCTTGACCTGAAGGAGACGAGCATCGACAGTGGTGAGTACTGGGGGGTGCTATGGGGGTGCTGGGCGGTCTCCCCCCACCCCAGGGTGCTCAGCCCAGGCCATGTCCCTTGTCAGGAGCCGTGCGGCTGCCCAATGGGAACCTAGTCCAGTTCAACCAGGCTGTGGGCCACCAGCTGAGCTCCAGCGGGCAATACCAGTACCACACCGTGCACAAGGACTCGGGCCTCTACAAGGAGCTGCTGCACAAACTGCACTTGGCCAAGATGGGGGACTGCATGGGGGACTCAGGGGACAAGCCGCTGCGGCGCAACAACAGCTACACCTCCTACACCATGGCCATCTGCGGCATGCCTCTGGACTCGCTCCGCGCCAGGGACACTGAGGACATGGAGAAGCTGACGTGGCCCGTGGCGGACACCAAGAAGAGGGTCCGCATGGACAGCTACACCAGCTACTGCAACGCGGTGGCTGATGCCCAGCCGGCTGCGGACGTGGACCTAAACACGGCCCAGGCGGAGATGGGCATCGGCGACCGCAAGGGCAGCAGCGGCTCCCTGGAGGAATGGCAGGACCAGGACAAGCCTGAGGTGTCCCTCCTCTTCCAGTTCTTGCAGATCCTCACAGCCTGCTTCGGCTCCTTCGCTCATGGTGGCAATGATGTCAGGTCAGTTGGATCAGCAGGTTGCTGGTGCCTTTCTTGGCCTGAGCATCTGGCCCTCTAGACCAGATCTCCTTTCCCTTCCAGCAATGCCATAGGGCCCCTGGTCGCACTCTACCTGGTCTATGAGACAAACGATGTGGCTACCACAGTGGCAACTCCCTTCTGGTTGTTGCTCTACGGGGGTGCAGGGATTTGCATCGGCTTGTGGGTCTGGGGAAGGAGAGTCATCCAGACTATGGGGAAGGACCTGACACCCATCACACCATCAAGGTAAGGCCTTGCCGTGGGGCAGGGAGAGGCTTCAGGCAGCCCTGAAGCTGCATCCTGCTCCTGAAGCCCTCCCCCTTCTCTCTTGGGGGTGTCACTGCTTGGATGGTGGAGTTGGGGTGAGCATGGCCCTGTAATGCCCCCTCTGCACCCCTTGGAGGGGTCACTGTGGGGGTCTGGAGAGCCAAGTGAGGAGCTTGCTGGGTGCTGGGCAGTGAAGGGTGTAGCCGGTGCCCTGCTTCTCATGCGCTTTGTGTCTTTGCAGTGGCTTCAGCATCGAGCTGGCATCTGCCCTGACAGTGGTGATTGCCTCCAATGTTGGCCTCCCCATCAGCACCACCCACTGCAAGGTAGGTAGGGACCAGCTTCAGCTGGGGGCAAGCTCATCTCCCCCCAGCCTGGCACTAACCAGGCTGAGCTGGGCAGGAGGCCCTGGACCTGGCTGCCCTTCAGTTCCCAGCTCTGCCATTTGCATCTCAATGTGGGGGGGCAGAGGCTGCCCAAGCCTGGAGGGGGGGAGTCGCTGGGTGCAGGGACACTCAGAGGAGTGATGGAAGGACAAAACCCCTTTCATGGAGCTCTGGGCTCTGCCAAGTGGCTGTGGGAATGGGGGTGCTACAGTGCCCTGGTCCTGCTCAGTGTGGCAGCTCCTCACTGGGCTTGGTGGGGTTCCCCTCATGGTCCCTGGGCTCTGGGGCAGTGCTGAGCGTGGTCCCCATGCAGGTGGGCTCGGTGGTCTCGGTGGGCTGGTTACGCTCCAGGAAGGCCGTGGACTGGCGCCTCTTCCGCAACATCTTCATGGCCTGGTTCGTCACCGTGCCCATCTCGGGGCTCATCAGCGCTGCCATCATGGCTGTGTTCAAGTTCGCTGTGCTCAAGATGTGAGGACATGGGTGCTCGCGCCGCTCCTGCTGCTGCCCCTGCCCCGGGAGCTGGGGGCTCATCCCGCCAGGGCCATCGTCACCTCTGGGGCTGCTGCAGTCCTGCCCTGTGTTGTCACTGAAGTATCTTTATGTTTGTTTTCTAATGGCCGTGTCCTGGAGCTCAGTTGCTGGGGGCAGCGCCTGCCCCCACCGTGACTCCCCTGCTGCGCTGTAGCGGTAGATTAGCAGTTATGGGAAGCCACTTCTCTTCATTTTAATGAGTTATTAAGGTCCCCTGGCAGTGATTCCTCCTTCAGTAAGGACTGGGGCTGGTCCTTGCCCCCCAGGGCAGGGCCTGGGGGTGTCCTTCCCCCCCTGGGCTGTGCTGTGTTCAGCTTTGCCTCCATTGCTGTCGTGGTGTGGACACCAGCTGCTGCCCAACCATCCCCTGGGGGGCAGCCCCTGCCCCCTTTCCCCCCCCCGCGCTGCTACCTCGGACTCAATAAAGGTTTCCTTCGTACGCCAGCGGTGCCTCTGTGCTGGGGGGTGATGGCCCAGTGTCCTGCCCCTGTCACTCACATCCTGCCCCATGGCTTCTGCTTGGCCTTGTGCCCTGGGAGGGAGCAGGGACTTGGCTGCCTGATAAGAGCCCCACATCTCTCATGGTGTGATGGGACTGCGTCTAAACAGCCCGGGGGGGTTTTATCAGTGCCCCACACCTGGGGTGTGTGTTGGGGGGGTGTCTGTTCCTGACTGCCTGTTGCCAGCCCCATGCCAGCTCCATGTCCCCATCCTACGGATGCTCCCTCCCACCCTCCGATCCCAGCCCCGGTCAGGGCCGTGCACTGGGACCCGCGTCACCCCGGGGTGTTGCAAGAGCAGCCGGTGATTGCGGCGGGACCGCGGCTGGCCCCGGGCCTTGGGGGGCAGCTTCGTACCTCCGGGCTCCCTGCGGTGAAGGGATGGAGCATCCCCGCGGGGCTCTGACCCCCCGCCTTGTGCCCATTTCCCGCGGGCACTGGGACGCGGGTCCCGTCCCTCCGGTGTGCGGTGCCGGGCAGGGTCCCCGGCGCCAGCCCCTCCCCGCGGCGCCCATCGGGGCGGCAGCGGGGCCGGTCCTTGACCCCGGTTAATGATTTGCCGCCGGTCGCCCCCCGCTACCGTCGGGCAAACACCGGCCCCGGGGGGGGGCACCGCGGGGGGGCTGGGGAGGGGGAGCCCCTGTTGTGGTTGCCCGGGGGGCGCTGCCCCATGGAAGGGCACTGGGGGTTCCCCCCTCTCCACTGTGGGGGTCCCCACCCCGTGGTGCCCCAGGTCCCGTCCCGACTGTTGCGCCGGGGGGGCTGGGGGGGGGGGGGGCCGGGCCGGGGGCAGGGTCGGGGCGGTCCCCGGGGCTTCGTTAAAGCGGCGGCGGCCGCAGGCGCCGGCCCGAGGCGGCGGCAATGGGCAGCGAGGGGGAGCGCGGCCCGGGGCCGGGAGACCCCCGGGCGCTGCGGAGGGACTGCTTGCACCGGTGGGACCGGGAGCCGCGGGGCACGGGGATAAGGGGGGGGCACTGGGAGGGGGTGCAGGAGATGAGGGAAGGACCTTAGGGGGTGAGGAGGGGACAGAGGCCCTGGGGGCCCCCATGTAATACTGCCGGGTCGGGGAGGCAAACACCACCCCCCTTAGTGCCCCCCCTCCGGCTCCATTTCCAGCTCAAAAGCCCATTTTTCTGCTCCAGTAACTCACTTTGGGGCCCTTGTCCAGGGATGGGGGAGAAGGGGGGCCGGTCCCCATCCACTCCTCATGCCACCTCCAGCCCTACCCTCCCCCCCCGTAACCCTCCCATCACCCCCAGGATCTTTGTGAACCGGAGCCTGGCGCTGGAGAAGATCAAATGCTTCGGCTTCGACATGGATTACACCTTGGCCAGTGGGTCTGGGGACCCTGGAGGGGGTGGGGTGGGGTGACCCCCCCCATCCCCTGCCCACACCCCCCATTGCCCCCATGTACAGTGTACAAGTCCCCCGACTACGAGGAGCTGGCCTTTGCGCTGCTGCTGCAGCACCTCGTATCCATCGGGTACCCCCCCGAGATCCTCGCCTACAAATACGACCCCACCTTCCCCACACGGTGAGGGGTGCTCGAGGGGGTGAGTGTGGGGGGGGTGTCACGGGCGGGACCCCCCCGCTGATGGGGTGTGCACGCAGGGGTCTCGTGTTCGATGCCCTGTATGGGAACCTGCTGAAGGTGGATTCCCACGGGAACCTGCTGGTCTGTGCCCATGGCTTCCGCTTCCTTAAGGGGTGAGTGAGGCTGGGAGCCCACAGGGATGGGGGTGCCGGGGGGCCCTTGGTGCAGGCTGCAGCTCCTTGCTCCCTCCCCAGGGCCGAAATCCTGCACTATTACCCCAACAAGTTCATCCAGAGGGATGACATGAAGCGCTTCCACATCCTCAACACCCTCTTCAACCTCACAGGTGAGTGAGGCACCCCCACCATGAGCCCCCCCACCACGGTGGGTGCTGCTACCCAGCCCCCATGCCCCTCCTCATCCCTTTCCCCCACAGAGGCCCATCTCTATGCCTGCCTCGTGGACTTCTTCACCAACTGCTCCAGATACATCAAGTAAGAAGGAGATGGGGGGGCGGAACCTGGTGTACTGGGGAGGGGTTGGGGGGACTCTCACTTGGAAGAGCAGCCCCTTCACATTCTCCCCCCCACCTCCATTTTCCCAACCATTGCAGCTGTGACACTGGCTACAAGCACGGGAACCTCTTCATGTCCTTCCGCAGCATGTTCCAGGACGTGCGCGAGGCCATGGACCACGTCCACCTCTTGGTGAGGGCAGCAGCAGGGGTCCGGGGGGGGGCTTTACTGGTGGAGGAGGTGCTGAGGGCCCTGAGGATGCCCCCCCCACACCTGGGATGGTGTTTGCCAGACCCCCCCCCCCCATCCACGTCCCCTCTGCAGGGCTGCCTGAAGGAGAAGACTCTGGAGAACCTGGAGAAATATGTGGTGAAGGACGTGAGTGTCTGTGGACCCCCGCTTCCTGGGACCCCTCCCGGGTCCCCCTGTGCTGACTTGCCTCTCGCCAGCCCCGTGTACCGCTGCTGCTGAGCCGCATGAAGGAGGTGGGGAAGGTTTTCCTGGCCACCAACAGCGACTACAACTATACCGATGTGAGCGGGGGGGGACTGTGTGTGTGTGTGTGTGTGTGTGTCTGTGTGTGTCTGTGTGTCCCACCCTGGGGGTACAGCACAGGCTGGGGGCTGACAGGGGCACGATGCTGGGTGTCTCTGCAGGCCATTATGTCCTACCTGTTCGACTTCAGCGATGGGGACAAGGTGAGTCTGTCCTCCCCAGGAGGTGTAGGGCATTGTGGGGTGCCACACGCAGCCCCTTGCTGACACCCCCCTGCCAGGCTGGGACCGCACAGCGCCCCTGGAGATCCTATTTTGATCTGATCGTGGTGGACACCCGCAAACCACTCTTCTTTGCCGAGGGCACCGTCCTGCGCCAAGTCAACACGGTGGGGCCGCGGGGCAGGTTGGGGCACCGCAGGGTGGATTGACCCCAGGACGGGCACCAGTGACGGTTCCTGGGCTGCTGTTGTCTCGCAGGACACGGGGAAGCTGCGCATCGGGACATACACGGGCCCCCTCCAGCACTGCGCCGTCTACTCTGGCGGTGAGCAGGACTCCATGGGCAGCCCGGGGGGGATGCGCCTGCGCCAACGCCCTGATGCCTGGCTCTCGCAGGCTCCTCGGACATGGTGTGTGACCTGCTGGGCGTGAAGGGCAAGGAAATCCTCTACATGGGCGACCACATCTTCGGGGACATCCTCAAGTCCAAGAAGCGGCAGGGCTGGCGAACCTTCCTGGTGGTGCCCGAGCTGGCGCGCGAGCTGCAGGTCTGGACGGAGAAGAGTGGTGAGCAGAGCTTGGGAGGACTGGGGAGGGGGGCTCGAGCCTCCTTCCCCCCCTGCCATGATGGCCAGACCAGCCCCAGTGGGACAAGCCCGTGTTGGTTGTGTCGGGCAGTGGGGATGCTGCCTGTGCTGAGCCGGACCCATTGCGCTTGCAGAGCTGTTTGAGGAGCTGCGGAGCCTGGATCTATTCCTCGCGGAGCTGTACCAGTAAGTGGGCATGGGGCAGGCTGGGGGAAGCAGAAGGGGGGTGTGGGCACCCATGGGGGGACCCTCCAGCCGGGTCTGTCCCACTGCAGGCACTTGGACAGCGGCAGCAGCGAGCGCCCGGACATCAGCTCCATCAAGCGTCGGATCCAGGTGATGCCCGGGGACAGCAGCGCGCTCCTGTACCCACCGCTGCCACGGCGCTGGGTGCCCTGATCCCGCTGCACCCGCAGAAAGTCACGCACGAGATGGACATGTGCTACGGGAAGATGGGCAGCCTCTTCCGCTGCGGCTCGCGCCAGACGCTCTTCGCCAGCCAGCTGATGCGCTACGCAGACCTCTACGCCGCCTCCTTCATCAACTTCCTCTACTACCCCTTCAGCTACCTCTTCCGGGCCCCTCCAGTCCTGGTGAGCCGCTCGCAGCCCCCCCCCACCGCTCACCCACCGTGCCTCAGTTTCCCTGGGGGAGGCATTGGGTGGGCACCAAGCCCTTGGCTGCTGGGGGCCGGCCCCTCTCAAAGCCCCTCCACACACAGATGGCTCACGAGTCCACGGTGGAGCACGGCCGTGGGGACACGGGGGAGGCCAGCATGGCCCTGGCCCAGCATGGCCACCCCAGCCCGCAGGTGAGGCGCAGGGATGAGGCCATAGGATTCCCAGCACTGACACCCTGGTGCTGTGCCCACTGACCCCTCACGTTGGCCTCAGGTTGCTGCTGTCCCCCAGGACTCCAGCGGGGAGGAGGAGGAGGATGATGGAGAAGCCTGAGCCCACCCCACACCAGCGGCTGCTGAGCTGCCGCCCCCAGGAAGGTCTTTGGTGGCCCTGGGCTGCCTGGGGCTCCTGCTCTCACTTGTGGCTTCCCGGGAGCCCCAGCTCCTCCCAGCATTGGGAGAGCCGCTGGGGGTGTCCCTGGACCCCCCTGCACCATCGGTGGTGCAGCACTGGGCTCTGGAGGCGACTGCTGCTCCCCAGGGTTCCCTTCCCCTTCCCCGGCCCTCCTCTCCCTCTGCCCTTTCCTATTTATAAGATACTCAAACTCTTGCACAACGGAGATGTAGAATTGGCTGTTCTGAAGGAAAACGCAGGCAAGTGCAAGCCCCTGGCTGAGGGTGGCAGCTTTGAGGGCAGTGCTGCCCACCAGCGGTGCCCTGCACCCCCTTGGGAGCCTCAGGCCGGAGCCAAGCCCGTGCTGGGACACCCTGATGCTGCTCCAAGGCTTTTCCCAGCATCAACGTTTCTCAATAAAGATGATGAGCCAATGCTGATGGTGGCTATGTTGAGAGGAGGCAAAAGGAGGGGCTGAGGACAGGATCGATCACTGCTTGCTGAAGACCAGGAGATGACATCAGGGCTCCCTTTCACCTCCTCAACACAGGGAAAATGGTGCCAGCCTCAGCAGCTGCC